ATCAAAGCCACACAAAATTGTTTTTATTTGATTACACTATTATTTTAACATTATAAAAGTACATAGAAAAAAGTTTTTCTTTCTATACGTATCCTCGTTAGTAATTAATAAGCAGAAACTTAATCTTTGTTCTCTCGAAGGAGTGTTTCAATTTTTTTGCCAAATGGTTTGTTGAAAAAAGTTTTTCAGGATCTTAATAAAATTTGGTATTCTACGGTTTTTGGGGTCGCTAATTACCAATTTGAAGTCAGTTTTTCAAAATTCAAAATGGCGGACGAGAATTAAAAAATTCATTGGATTCGCTCGAAAATTGTTACTCGAGAGGTTTCAGGGTCGCTGATTACGAATTTTTGATCATTTTTAAAAATAAGTTTTAGGAAAGTCCGCCATTTTGAATTTAAAAAATTTGACTTTTATTTTTGTATTTACATTCAATCACTCCAAAATACTTTCTGTACCAAGTTTTGCAAAAATCCGTTATGATTTGATAAAGTTATTGAAGGTTTTAATTGTGTAATGCATTTTAATTTTTAACCTGTTTGATTTTTGTATTTATATATGATGCATTATTACATAATAGGTTTATTATCGTATTTTTTTGAGTTTTTATATAAGTTTAACAATTGCAATACTTTAAATTTATTTTCCCTAAGATTTTTCTGAAATACAGTGGCGTTCGTATTTACCCCGGTATTTTAGGAAAGTTGCAAAGTATCAAGGTAAATACGAACGCTAAGTTTCCTGTGATTGTAATTTATCAAAAAATTTTGCTACCTCATAAAATTGTTCTATGGAAGTAAAGTAACAACTTCATGCACCAGAATACCGGAAGTATTTTTTTTTTAAAGAAAAAACTTATGTTATTGTTGAAACTTACTAAAAGCGTTCGGATTTACCCCAGTTGACCCTAATCCAAATATAAATATACAAAATATTGCGTGCACAAATGTGTAAATTTCACTGAGATGTAAAAAAAAAGAGAAACAATTTAATTGAAAGTAAAATTAAGTTTCCATTTATAATTTTCGCATATATACCATTTAAGATACTTTTTTTTAAAGACGACAATATAAATGGAATTGATAGTATAACACATACATCACTTAAATAAATAAATAAATATATATATATATATAAATATGTGGAAATAATATTAATTTATGGTAACCAATTGTTTTATAAAGAATGTTTGCCTTTTGAAAGGCGGAAACCGTTCAGGTTGACCTAGCATAGTGAAAATTGGAAACAATTCTAACCGCGTGCGTGAAGGTTTGACGTCAATTTCTCATCGCTTCGCTGACTGAATGTGTGCATCATGAAAAGAATTTGTAAATATGAAACGTGCACATGAAATTCCCATTTCAGCTTTCATACATAAATATTTATATTATAATACCATAGTGTTTCAGAAATCTATTAAAATTTATGCGGAAAAGAATTATTTGCCCTATGTACAGTTATATATAATATATAAAATATAATTATAAACACGTAAGGAGAAAAATTTATTAAATAATAAAAACTGGGTTACTTGATAAGAATTTTTTTTTTCTTTCTAATCCCAACAGGATTATAATAATTATTATTTTGCAAAAATATTTAATTTTTAATCTTTAAACACAAGATTAAAGAAATTTTTTTAATTTTTTACTGTTCAATATATGCACCAACGAGAAATGATTTATTTGAACCAAATAAAATATATTTGAGTTAAATAAACGTATATTTGTCTCAGCATCAACTAGACTTTTTATTTATTTTAAAAATAAAAATTTTATTCAACATAAATAAAATATATATATTTCAATTTTTAATTTTATATAAAAAACAAATTGTAGGATATTTTAAAAAAATAATAAATGTGAAATTATTTTCCTTTTTTTTTTAAATGATATTTTCAAATTCAGCAATTATCAAATTTATGTAAAATTTTTTGGCACGATTTCAAATATTTTTTGAAAATTATTATTTTGTTTTTCCAAAAATTGTCATTTTATTCATAGTCTCATAATTCTCTTTTTAGGTAACACAATTTTCCTTTAAGTACAATATATACATTTTTCAGTTTACTATTTCTGAAAAAATCGATTTTCTTAATTTTTTTTTTCTTTAATTTTTAGTTCGTTTATTTATTAATTAATTATAGTACAAATTTCAGCACTCTTGGCAATTTTACGAAGCTGAAGTACGCAACGTTTATGATAAACGATTTTTAAAAAAATAATTTTTTAAAATGAAAAAGTCTATAATTTTTTACTTAAAAAATATTTCTTGTAGTTTTCATTAATCAACAAATTATAAAGAAATATTTTTTAGGCAAAAAATTATAGAAATTTTTCATTTTAAAAAATTATTTCTTTAAAAATCGTTTATTATAAACGTTGCGTACTTCAGCTTCTTAATTTTCCAATATTTTAATGAATTTTGAAAATTTTATCACTTTTAAAGAAATTGACATAAAGATACTTTTTTTCAAAAAAAAAAAAATTTTAAGAAAACCGATTTAAAAAAAATATATATATAGCAGTTGGAAAACTTTTTTTTACCTCCATGAAGTTGTCGTCGACACTCAGCGCCGAAAATTGTTTATCACTGAACCAAAAATATTAAATTATTATTATTTTTTTTTTTTTTTTTAAGATTTTCAATCCAAATAATGCCTTGAGAAATACTTTTTAAGGTATTATGTGGACCCAAAATCTTTTTTAAAATATTTGATAATTTTGGTCCTGTGAAAAATAAATTTCGACGCTGAGCGTCGACGCCAACTTCATTGAGGTCTTTTTTTAATAGAATTAATAATATGTAAACTCACAGTAAATTTTTTTTTAAACAAATTTGCAAATTTAGAGATTTTTTATTTCATCGAATTTAAATTTGTCAAAATTATTATTTGTTCAAATTTATCATTAGACAGAAAAGTCGATTTAAAAAATTTTTATTTTATTGAAAGAATTAATTTTCTAGCTCTATTTTTATTTGTTCGAAATTAGATTTTACAGAAAAATTTTGTTAAAACGCCAAATTTAATTTTGTTGAAGTAAATAAATATCTGTGAGAAAAATATGTGTGTAAATTTAAAAATTAACAAATAAGAAATTATCAACGAAATTATAATTTAATTTTTAAATTTGCGCCCAAATTTTTCTTTTACATATTTATTCGGACAAATGAAAATTCTGTTTAAATAAAAATTCGGCGTTTTCAAAATTCTATAAAATGAAAATATATATATATATATATATATAGGGTGATCAAAATGTACTGGACTTGCCAAAAAAAATAATTAAATTTCTAAAGGTATTGTTAATTTTCAAACAATTATTAAATTTTATAGAACTAAAAATAATTTATCAATCAATTTTCAGAAAACATTTTTTAAAATTAATTGAATTTTCAAAGATTTAAAATTGAGATTTTTGAAATTAATTGAAACTTTAAGTGTTTTGTAATTAAAATTTTAGATGATTTCACTAAAAATTTATTAGAAAATGCGGACAAAATACAATAATTTGAAAATCATTTTTAATTGAAAAATGGTTTCAGATAGTTGAAATTTCAAAGAATATTATTAAAATAGTTAAAGATAATTGAATTTCCTTAGAGTTATACCTAATTGAGATTATTAAATTTCAAAAAAAATTTTTCGATGGAAAATTTTAGAAATAATTAAATTTTAGATGCTTTTAAATTTAAATTAGTGAAAATTCAATTAATTTTGAATTCAAATTTTTGAGAATAATGAAATTTTATTTGATTTTAAATTTGGAAAATAATTGAATTTCAGTTCATTTTGAATTGAAAATTTTGGGAAATAATTGAATTTTAATTAAAATTTTGGATAATAATTTAATTTAAGTTCATTTTGGATTGAAAATTTGGTTAATTAATTTTGAATAGAAATTTTAGAAAATAATTGAATTTTATTTCATTTTAAATTGAAAACTTGGCAAATAATTAAATTTTAAATTGAAAATTTTTAATAATTATTGGATTTTTAATTGATTTTGAATTAAAATTTCGGGTAATAATTGAATTTTAGTTTATTTTGAATTGAAATTTTTAAAAAATAATTCAATTTTATTGTGATATTTTTTTTTTAAATTATAAACAATTGTTAAATTTCATAAAAATTTTAATTGAAAAATAATTTTGATATAATTGAATTTGTGATGTATTTCATAAAAATTATTAAAAATAATTAATTTAGTGAAGAATCATTTTAGTTCAAAATTTGTTAAATAATTGAATTGAAGAAGATCTGAAGAAGATCTACATTTTATACTAAAAAAATGTATTTTATTTACATTTTTTTTCAAATGTAAAAAAAAATGTCGCATTTTATTAAAATAAGTCGATAAAAGTCGTATTTTTGAAAAAAAGTCGTATAATCCGAGTCTTGTAAACATATAATTTTCATTATTATTATTTAATATGTAATAATATTCTAATAAATTAAATTATTATTGATAATATTAATCTTTAATTTCATTATAACAAACAATTAAGTACTCAATTTGGCGCGCTTGCGCGCGTTTAATTTTGCTAGTTAATAAATAAATATTAAATAATTTTCTTTTGCATCTTATTTTCGAGATTTTAGCATAATTTCTTATTTTTCGTCATTTTAAAAAATGAAATTCTTAGAGTCTTATAAAGTATTTTTTTTTTAATTTTTCAACTTTAATTTATTTTTTGATACTTTTAAAAGTTTTAAAAAATATTTTCGCCTTTTTAGAAACGTTAATTTTTTTTCCCCGAAATAAAATGATTAAAAACATTTCTTCATATCATTTTTAGCGATTGGTAAATAAGGAATAAAATTGACAATGCAAGTTGTTATTTAATATTTCTACGACTCGGTTGGACATTAATAATAATCTAATAGAGTTGTGTTTCACTTGAGTAACAGCAGTAAAATGAATTCAAGTAGCTCTTAAGTAGCCTTATATATATGATTATGGAGATGAGTCAATAATAAAGTTGTTATTTATTTCCAGCGGGGAAAAAGAAGGAGAGAAAAAGGAGAAAGAAAAAGAGAAGAAAAAAGGTAAATTGAATATAATTGTATATACATATCGTATATAAGAATTAGAAAAACAGTTAGTAATTTTGTAATAATTTTTTTAGAAATATCAAGATAATTAATGTTCTTTAAAAAAATCATTATTAATTTTAATTTTCAGTGTTACGAAATTTATTCCTCTGTTAAATTTTGTTTTATTTAATCAAAAATTCATTTTTCACAGAATATTTATTTAATCGAATTTCTATTTTAGCAGAATACTCAATTTTACTTCATTTTCCAATTTAAAAGAAAATCGTCATTTTTTTGGTTTGTAAATTTTTTTTAAAATTACTACAGCAAAAAAAAAAAAAAAAAGTACATAATTATTAATTTATTTTTTGAAGAATATTTTATAATAAAATTTAAATATTTAAAAAAGTAGTAAACAAATTTTTTGTTTATTTAAACGTTCGAAACTTCAAGCACATAACTCTGTCAAATATTGACAGTTTCATTAAAAAGGTAATGAAGATTCGATGAAATAGAAATTCTATCATTAAAAACTTTTGTGAAAATTTTTTTTTATTATAAAATTTTGAAAAATTCGTTTCATTTGTATATTTTTCTTGTAAATAAAATTTTTTTTTGCGCCAAAAAATAATGAAATAAAAAAAATCAAACTTCCTCTGAAAGATATATTACTTCTTTTGATATTTTATTAAGAAATTTTTTTTTTTTTGAGCACGTGCCTTATGCGGCTGTTCAGACTCATAAAAAAAAACTCCATCTCCTGCTCTCTTAAAATAATCGTCTTTTATTTATTTTCCATTTGTAAAGTTTCTTTTAGGATTTAAATGTCTTTTTCATTTTTTTTTCTTTTTTCATTACAGAAAATGCCGTCCAGCCGCACTGTCACATCACTTTGAAATGTACCCGAGAGGTGAGTGACTTCCGCCGTTTGAGAGAGAAAGAGTATTTTTAGAGATTCTTGTGTCTGAATATGGGGAATGAAAAAAAAATGAGAATCAATCAGCGTGTATAGGATAATAGAGAGAAGAAGGTCGCGAGCAATTAGAGGGAACCCAAAAAAAAATTGAGAAAATACACGAATTAAACAAAATTTCATCACTACTCTCTCTATCTTAATACACTTGGTACACTATACATCTTTTTTTAAATATTATATAACAAAATATATAATGTTAACAGGGTTGCCACAAGTCAGGGAAATTTTTTTTTTTTGTCAGGCAAGTCAGGGAATTAAAAAAAAATGTACTTCAAAAATATTATAAACAGATTTGTCTACACTGAAAAAAAAATTATTTGAATTAAATAAACTTTATTTGAACCAATTATTTATGTATTTGAAACAAATACACCATTTAATTTGATTCAAACAATTATTTAATACAAATAAATATTTATTTGATAATAGTCAATTAACCGATTATTTGAATTAAATAAATTATTTTTTTCAGAGTGTAACATGTGCATGATTATCTCATAAAAATCATTAGTTTCAATTTTTCATTTAAAAAATCGTATTACATATAATTATTTTTTTTTTTGACAAATTTTCATTTTTCGAATTAGCATTTCAAAAAATTCATTTTAAAACAAATTTTTACTTTAAAAAATTTTTAGGTACCAAATTTTAATTTAGTAGAATTTGTATTTTACAGAATTTCTCATTACACAACTTTTTATGCAAAAGAATTGGAATGTAACCGAATTTTAATTTTAGCAGAATAATTCTTATTTAATTTATTTAATATAATTTTAAGATGCTTCGAATTTTTAAATGCAAGAATTTTCAATTCAGTGTATTTTAATTTGTCCTATTCTTTATTTGCAACAATTTTTTATTTAATAGAATTTTTAAAACAGGAAATTTTTATTTTTTCGTAGTATAAACAATAGACAAAAAGATTTTGGCACAATTTTGAAAATTTATACTGATCACGATTTTCTTGTTGATTTCTTATTGCGATGAATTTTAAAAATTGTGTCGAAATTATTCTGTTGATTGTATATTCGGTCATTTGTAATTAAGGATAAAGGAAGATTTGTCGTTTTAAGAATTAAATCTAATAAGAATTTGGGTAAATAAAAATTCGAACGAATGAAGATTCGGTGAATTAGAAATTTTTCACACTTTAAAAATTCATATATAATTTAAAATTCTATTGAATGAGAATTATGCTAAAATTTTTGGTTATGGAATAAAAGTTTTTTTTTTTTTTTTTAAATAAATAATAATTATATTTTTGAAAATAATTAAATTTTCGAATATATTTGAATTAAAAGAATTGTAAGTAATTGGAATTTCGTAAAATTTAATTTAAGAATTTGAATTCTTCTTTATAGAATGTTTAACATAATTTTCATTTGATCGACTTTTCATTTATTATAATTTTTTTTTTTAAATAGAATTAATATTTGATAAAAAAAAAAAAAAAAAACAAAATTCGAAAATGTCAGGAAATATAAAAAAATATTGTATGAAAGTCAGGGAAATTTGAGAGAAAAAATGAAAATTTTGTGGCAACCCTGTTTAAGTCCTTAATTTAACGACTTTTGTCAGGATATTTCATTTCCTGTATTTTTTTTTTAAATATATTTCCTATTTACAGATTGCAGGTTTCAATGGTTTGAGCGATGCCTTGAAGAGACTTGATTTCTTATCAGCTGTTCATGACTGTCGTCGTTTCAATTATATCGTCAGACTTCTAGATTTGCTTGTGAGCCACAGGATGGGAGGGCTTAGCGGATGCGCCCAACGTGTTCTTTTTAACATGCTCGAGGAAGTTGCATTAGAAGGTATTGACGATTTGAATTGAATACGAAGATGCCAAGAGAGAGCATTATTTATTATTGATCACTATCATTAAATGCTCGTAAAGTTAAATAATGATTTAAGTCAATTGTGGTTGTTTATAAAGTCTTTTTACAATCGTCAATTATTATTATTATTATTCACAATGTTATGTTATAATTTTTTTTATTTTGTTATTTTTATTTAATTATTTATTGAAGTAACAAAATTATTATTATAAAATTCACAGGCCTCGGATTGTACGACTTTCTCCGACTTTTTTTTCACAAATTCGACTTTTTTCGACTTATTTTAATAAAATGCGATTTTTTCGACTTTTTTTTACATTTTTTTTTTTACAAAATTTTTAAACAAAATACGTTTTTTTAGTATACAATGCAGATCTTCTTTAGATATTCTTTATTTCAATTATTTAACAAATTTTTTAACTAAAATTCTTTACTAAATTAATTATTTTTAATAATTTTAATGACATTCTTTAAAAATTCAATTATTTTAAACTATTTTTCAATTAAAATTTATGTGAAATTTAATAATTGTTTATAATTAAAAAAAAAAAAATTAGCAAATAAAATTACTACAAATTTTTAATTCAAAATCACTTGAAATTTAATTATTTGCAAAAATTTCAATTATTTTTCATGATTTTTATAATATTCGAAAATTCAATTATCTGAAAGCATTTTTCAATTAAAAACTTTTGGAATTCAATTTTTTTTTTAATGTGATTTCTAATAAATTCTTCATCAACAGAAATCACTAAAAATTTATCTTATTATAATTGAAGGGTAGAATGACAAAAGGGGTCAAGCGCCAATTTATCGAAAACGAGGTTTTTGCATAAAAAAATCAAGAAAATTCATTTACACATTTCTGTAGAAGGATTTCCTTTTTTATTGCGTATTTAAATCAGTTTTTAATAATAATTAAATTAATAAAATAGCCTCAAATTTACTTTATTGCAACCTGATTGAAAAACAAAAGAAAGTGATGAGTCAATAATATTATCAAAATAAAAAAAAAATATTATTTTTTTAGTTTTTATTTTAATATTTTATTTTAATTTTATTTTAATAATATTTTAATTAATAAAATTAATAATAATAATAATGTATTTTCAATTTTAAACAATTTTAAAATCATTTTATTATTAATTTTTAAATATTTTTATGATTATACTAAGTGAACAATTGAATTTAAAGATGAAAGTATTGCTCAATTCCAAAGCAAGCAATTAATTCGTAATTTTCTTGAAAACAAACAATTTTTTAAAGGAATTTTTTTTTCTATTCATTTCGTCGATTCCATAGAAAGAAACTAATTTTCCAGTTTTTCTTTAAACTGTATATTTTTTTTATAATTAATGCTTAAAGAAAATGTGCGCAGTTGATATAACCTCAAGGAACCACAGTTTTTTTTAATTTTATCGTTAATATGTAGGTTTATTTCAACAAATTGTTGTTTATTTATTAAAACATACTAATATATCGAAACGGTTTTCTCAGTTTTTTTTTAAATGACCTGCAAAATTTTTTAAAATGTTTTTTTTACTTCCTGTAAAAACAGTGAATTGGCGCTTGACCCCTTTTGTCATTCTACCCTTCAATTATTGTCTGAAATTTAATACAATTTTTTGAAATTTAATTATGTATTTTCAAAAATTTCAATATAAAAATTTCTAAAATTGTCCATCTAAAATTTTTTGCAATTTAATAACTTCAACTATAACTCTCCTGAAATTAAATTATTTTTAATAATTTTGATAATATTCTTCGAAAATTTAACTATCTGTAACCATTTTTCACTTAAGGCCATGTGAGATAAAGACACTTTTTGGTAGTTCCAAGTATTTTCGGAAATGAGAAGAAATTTCGGGTTGAAATTTTGAGGAATGATAAAATCCAAATTGTAAATCTTTGAAAATTCAATTACTTTTAAAAAATGTTATCTAAAATTATTTGATATATTATTTTTAGTTGTGTATAATTTAATTATTGTCTAAAAATTAACAAAAAATTTTGAAATTTAATTATTTCTAAAAATTTCATCTTTAACTCTTCCAAAATTATTATTAAAAAAAAATTTTTACTTAAAAATCTGTTAAATTTTGATTAAGTATTGTCTGAAATTTTTTTGCTAAAAACTATGACAAAATTTTTAATTCGAATAAATTGCTTAAATCAGATTTCAAAAAATTATAAAAATGGAAGTTTAAGAATTTTTTTTTAGAAATTTGTCTTATTAAATAAAATTTTGAAAATTGGTCTTACAATTAGTTCGAGTCTGAAATATTCGAAATAAATTTTCTTGATAATATTCATTATAGAATTATTCTAATTATAGAATTAATAAAATGAATTTAATATCTAATAACATTAGTTATTCAAAAGTAAAATATTTATTGACCAATTAAATTTTGTTAAAATAAAAATAATCGACTTTTTCGACTTTTTTGGAATATAAATCGACTGGAACGACTTTTTTGTGCCTTAAAGTCGATCCGAGGCCAGAATTCAATTTTTTTTTTAAATTCAATAATTTAACAAAATTTTGTTATGTCAGGAAAATTTCAAAGAAATTTATAAATTTATTCTTGTGACAACCCTGATAATTACATTTATTTTTAAAATTCAATTAAATTTATAATTTGGTATTTTTCATGAAAAAAATTTACAAAATAATTTAACTTAATAATAAAAAAAAAAACAGAATTTATAAAATAATTAAATTGTTAAAAGTAGATTAAATTGTACAATAATTGTATTTTATATTAGATAATTGAATTTACATAGATATATAACAAAATTAAAATAATTGAATTTTAAAAACACTTAAATGTAAAGGTAAAATAATTGAATTGAAAAATAATTAAATTTTATATTATTCTTGAATTTTAATGGATTTATCCTTTTTTTCATATATTTTTTAACCTTCCTCTTTTTTTTTTCTTAATAAATGTACAATTAATTTCCATATTGCAGTGTCCTTATCGCAACAACAAACTGGAAGATTAAGACGACTGATAGAGAGGGTTCGAGCCTTCAGCGCTGGTTGCTGTTGGGGTGGTAGAGCTTTGGGTTCAGTAATTTTGTGGGAGAAACATAAAGCAGCTCTTGAGCGAATTTTGCATATCGCCTCGTCCATTACCATTACACAGGTTTATTATTATTATTATTTTGACATTGAAAAACCAATCATTTTCGCTGTTTTCTTTAATTTTTTTTTACTTATTTTATCCAATTTTTGTATTAGCAGATTATTATATATTTCATTGATTTTGAAAAGGCTATGTAATTGAAAATTAATAGTAATAATATTTTTACATAGCCCGATGAGGAACAGCATCCACAATGGTCCGATTTACCTGCAGAATGTCGTCGAGAGGTGTTACTTCGATTAAGTGATCCGCGCGATATTGAAGCATCATCCGAGGCTTGTGAACATCTTGCTGTTCTTGCTCAGGAGCAAAGAATTTGGCGTGAACTTGCTCAGTATCATTTTACGCCACAACAAATAGCCACTACTCGGCAAAAAAATCCTGGTAAAGACTGGAAGACTTTATTTACGATTGCCCGAAAGTAAGTAATACAAAAAAAAAAAAATCAATTATTATCAGTACCGAAATTTTGTGTTTTTTTTTCATAAAAATAATTTATGTTCTCAAAAAAGTTGCATTTATGCATTAAAATGTCAATTATTCTATTATTAGGCTTAGGAACCTAAATTATGCTTTTTAATTATTTTCCAAATTTGCTAATATATTTTTGTTAATTAATAATTTTTAATATAGATATTAAAATTACAAATGTGATTTTCATATCTTTTTCCCTTTTTTTTTTTTCTATTTCTTAGGTCTTTTGGTCTTCGAGAGGAATATGCAGAAATGATTCAATTATGTCGCAACTGCCGTTGTTTATTTTGGCGATCATTGGGCCATCCATGTATCGCTGATCAAGATCCGGCCTTTCAAGAAAAACTAGCTGACGTTGATCAAACTACACTCCACGTTCCGATTCCTCCACAAACTTTCCTAAAGTTCTTTTCGCTGTGAACAATTTTTTGATCAAACGCTTACTTTTTTTTTATTTATTTTTTTTTTTAAACAAGCAGAACAATTATACACATCAGAGAGAAAGAGAGAGAAAATGCCACGGATATGAATGATTATTAAATAATTGAAATTACTGCCGATAAAAGATTAAATTATTCTGAGTAAATTTTAGATACAAGTACTTGTAAAAATATGTACTTGTGTATAATTCAGAATCAAAAGAAAAAATATATAAATATAATATATGTTGTTTAAATCGGCAGTAAAAGAAAATTTTAAATTTTGTGTGTGATTCCTAGTCTGCTTTATCTTTATCGCGACTCGTCCAAAAGAAGAATAAAATAAACAGAAACTACATTATACGCTTTCGAGTGAAAAATCGAATAAAATTCGATTTAAAAATTGCAGCGTAAACACGAGAATTCTATCATAAAAACGCCTAATATTGATTTAAAATCACGAACAAGAAAAAAAAAAAAAAAAAAGATACTTTCATCGAGAAAGAAAAATAAATACGGCGAATTTAAAGGGATGATATCCCTTTTTTTTGTAAATTATTGTGGGCAAATAAATATTCCTGCCATTATAAAGAACGAGATCTTTATCGCCAGAAGAAAGAGAAAAATAAGAGAGAGGGAGAGAAAGAGAGAGAAAATTAATTATAAATCTTCTATCTTGTACTTAATATTAAATGTTAGACAAGTATCGAGTATGAATTTTGAATTAATCGATTAGCATTGATCTCGAATCAAGTTCGTATTTTCTTCTCGAGTAAGTTAGGCCTGATTGATCTGCAAAGACAGTAAACATATAATTACTTATATAATTTTCTTTTTTTTTTATAATACAATAATATGCTCTTGTATGTTTGTGATTATTTTTTGTTTTGGTGCTTAAAAATAATTGGGTCATTTCAATTTATATTTCGACACAAAATAGTTGCCTAATTTCAAAAAAAAAAAATATATATATATATATAATAATAATTTCTAGGAATTATTTTTTGAAGATATCAAAATTAGAAAATGAAAAGAATTAAAAAAAATTTATTGCAACATTTTGCAATGTTTATCCATATTAATTATGAGTTAGTGGAAATATTAAATTCCAATTTTTGAATTAGTAAAAGTTGTCGTTGGATATAAATATTAAAAGTTCTCTGAGATTAAAAAAAAAGAGAAACAACTTCAGTAACATAATTTAAGTAATTTAGAATTTTTAATTTTATTTTAATCACAGGAGTTTTATTTTTATTAAATTTTTTTTTTATTTTTTATTTATTCAAAGGCAATTTTGGTATACTCTTGAAGGTATAAATTATAAGTTTTTTTTTATAAAAAATATTTTCTACTGTTTGAAAAAGACGGTTTTCAGTATCTCTAATACTTTAAATTCATATACTTCACAAATATAGGAAAAATTTTAACAAAATTCTCTTTGTTTCCTGATCTTGATAATTTCAAAAATTATTCATTGAAAGTATTATCATTTTTTAATAACGTTTTCCAATTACTATTTTTGAAAAAATTGATTATGAATTTTTTTCTAAATTTCAACGAAGTTAAATAAATATTAAATATAGTAAAAATTTTATCATTCTTTTGCAATATATAATAAAAATTGAATTACTCTTGTTGAAATTTTCATTTTTATTTAAAAAATTAAAAAAAATTTCAATATAAATGTCTTATTATTTTTAAGTATTGCAAAAGAATTTGAAATTTTTATCTCATATATGTATTTAAAGTTTTAAATATTTTCTGTAAAGAAAATTTGAAAAAAAAAATTTATTCTTTAAAATAAAATAATAAAAATAAAATTGGCGATAATTTTAATCGAAATATAATGGAATTATTCAATTTTACAAAAAAATTTTTAGCATAAATATTTCTTCTTCGAACATTATTATTATAGAATAATATACTCGTGTCAAAGTTAGTTTCTGACAATGCTTCAATATTGATAGAACATTATTTTAATTATGTTTTAGGTAGACGATGTTATAATTAAGAATGTTTAAGTTTTTATATTCCTTCGATATTTTTCACTTGAAAACTTATATAGTGATATTAATTATTAATTTCGAAGTTTCTCGTTCCTCCTGTTATTTATTTTTTTTTTTTTTGCGTTTGATTTAATACTTTTCTTAAAGAAAAGTTGTTCATTAATAATATTTAAGTTAGTTGAATTTGCACTTTTTAATCTTAAAAAGGAATAAAATTATCGATTTTTATTATCGAGGCTATACGAGATTCATGCGGATGATTTTTGTTTGAATACTGTGATGACGATTTATATTATATAAAAAAAAACAAAAAAAAAAAAAAAAAAAAACGATGGTACCTAGAGTGAGATTTGGAGGGTTTGACTTTATTCAAGTTTATTATTCAAGGCAGAACCTATTTACACTGTTTTTATGAAATTTTTTCTTCTTCGATACACTCGTTTAGCGTTATTGCATCAATCAATTCATTATCGATCTATAAGTTATAAATAACGCCGTATCTATTAGCTTCTACGATTAATTAATCGTTAGGAAACAAAAAAAAAAAAAAAAATGAAATTATACTGCCAAAACAGATGCTATTGCATTTATAATATAAATACATGAATTGATAATTCTGATAAATTTTCGATTCTTAATCGCAAGAGACGATTCTTTTTGATATTCGCTTTTTATTTTCAAATGTAATTTTTTTAAGCCATGTTGCATGACTTATAATAATATGTATATTTTACTAACCTAGTCATTACATAGGATAACCGAATAACGTTGTCTCTATGAAAAAAAAGGAGAAAAGAAAAGAAAAGAAATGAAGTATTGGGAAAATTTTCAATTACCAAATTTATGAATCCGGCAGCTGATGTAACTATTAATTGTAATTGTCGTAAAATTTCAACGATCTTAGTTTCTCAGCCGTTAAATATATATATATATATATATAAATAAATTATATAAAAAAAAGGTAATTGTTAAAAAGGCACTAATCACGAATATGCTATATAAAAAAAAGTAGAAATTAAGTATTTTTCGATTCTATTTAAAATGATAATTATAATAATTATAAATTAATAAATAATTTAAGCATGCTATGTAGAAAATGTTTCTTTTTGTAAAAAAAAAATTGTTAAAACTTTTTAAAAGTGAAGGCAATTTTATTATTCTTTTGTTGGCGCAATTGTTGTTTTTTTTGTCTTTGAAGACATTTTCAGTAAATTAAAAAATTTATTGAAAACTTCGTATGTAAAAAGGGTATAAATAAAAAAAAAAAAAAAGAGAATACTTTATTGAAATTAGTGCCTTTTTAATTCAACCTTTATTATTTTAAAAATAATGTGTAGAGTGGTGTTGTGCAAACGCTTTGAAATAAATATCTATTTAAATATAATGAGATACTATTTACTATTATTTTTAAAACGATTTTTTAAAAATCGATAGTTAATAATAAAATTGTAAAAATGAATAATTCTATTGTAGTTAACATATATATTAAATATAAATTCAAATATTCGCGCCAAAATGACAGTGGCGTCATCTCTTTCAATTAAATTTCTCAAATTAATTTTCTCCTATATAAGAAAAATATTAAATTTTATATAATTTTTAACATTTAAATTGTAATATTATATTTAATAAATAATTTTTAACAACAATAATTATTAATTGTAGTTGGATAAAAGGGACGCATGATTTGCACCCAAAATCCATTACATTAAATTGTCAAAGCATCGAGATTTATTACATTGACTCTCGAATACATGGATTCTTCAAAACGTCGACTGACCAAAACATCGACTTGTAAAATTATCGACTCCTCAAAACATCGAATTTCCAACTGGTCGAATTTCAAAATGATCGATTTTTAACAACGTCGATTATTCAATGCATACATTTACCATCACATATCCTTATTAAAACATCGAATTGTTAATTCATTGAATTTCCAAAACATGGAATTTTCATAGCTTTGAATTACCAAAGCATCGACTTGTTATAACGTCAATTTGTCAAAAAATGAATTTTTTAATGCATCGATTTACAAAAACACTGATATTATAAAACGTCGACTCGCAAAAGCATCGACTTTTGTTTACATTGAATTTTTAATACAGCGATTCTCCAAATTATCGACTAACCAAATCAATCATTTGTCAAAATATAGATTTGCTAAAACATTACATTTTCAATACATCAATTTATTAAAACACTGATTTTCTAAAACTTCGACTCGCAAAAACGTCTATTTTTTATTACACTAATTTTTCAAAACATCAATAAATCAAAACATCGACTTTCCAATACACCGATTTTTTAAAACGTCGAATAATCATAGCACCTATTTTTTAATACACAAATTTTTTAAAACATTAATTTATTAAAACATTGAATTTTTAATACAGCGATTCTCCAAATTATCGACTAACCAAATCATCCATTTGTCAAAACATAGATTTGCTAAAACATTACATTTGCAATACATCAATTTAGCAAAACACTGATTTTCTAAAACTTTGACTCGCCAAAGCACTGACTTTTTAATACATTACCTCGTCAAAAGAACGAATTTTCAAATCATCGATTTTCTAATGCACTAACCTGCAAAAGCATCAAATTTCCAATACCTCGACTTCCGAGTACATCGATTTTTTAAAACATTAACCTGTCATAACATCAACTTTTCAATACATCTACTCGTCAATGCATCGAATTGTCAAAGCATAGAATTTTTAATACATAGATATGAAAAAGCATAGACACTTTTTTGCATTGAATATCCATTACATCGAACTTTTTTTTTCACTAGGGTTTACTCTCTATGTTGTTAGTAGGTAAGGTAGATTAAGATTGTGCGGGAAATTTTAAATTAATATAATATTTAATTATATTTATTAATAAATGTTTTTTATAACATTTAGTTATTAAATATTGTAAATTTAATGTTTTCTGTTTTTTTTGGTAATATAAAATCTCTCAATATTAACAAGAAAATGATATTTTTATTGATTTAATAATATATACAAATTATTGTTTTATATGTTTCTCATAGATGTCTCTACTTTACCAGTTTAATGTACTAAAACTGAAATAAATATATTTAGAATTGTATTCCATTGACAAATTGCCTTTCTTTTTTAAAATTATTCTCTTTTAATAATTTCTCCTTATTTTTTATGAAATATATTTGACATTTAAAAACAAACACAAAATATTTAAATAAAAAAATGTTTTTTTTATGAAATTATATTCATAAATTTAAATAAACTATTCAGCTGAAATTATGGACAAAATTTTTTTATCAACCATATATATTTTTTGGTAAACATAAAAAAAAATTTAAGTAAACTTAAACTGTTTTTCATATTATTATTTTTTTTTTAATAATTAATATCTTGTTTTACAAGTTTATATTGTATTCAAATCTTGTAAAATAAAATAATTGTCCTCGGCACTTATAATTTCACTCGTAAAAACTACAATTTTTGAAAATTTTTGAAAATATAAAATATTTCAGATGCAACGAAAGGCTACAGTGATTAAGCAGAATAAACAGGTAAAAGATCAGAGGTTCTCTGGTATATTAGAATAGAGTAGGGCGAGATTACCACATTTTACTCCATTGATGCAAGTTCCGGTCTCTTCGTTATTTCCAAACTACAGCCATTCTATAAGCTATCCTTTCGTAATTTAATTTCATTTGGTAAAAAAAAATGAAACAAACAATATTTGATTTAACAAAAATTTTTAATTACAATATTCTTTATCTTTATTAAATAACTAGCTAAAATATAGCGCGCTAAAGCGCGCGTGTATTTCCTACGTCGTGG